ACATGGATGGAGCTAGAAGGGATTATGCTCAGTGAAATAAGTCAGAAGGAAAAAGAGAATATCAGATGGTTTCACTTATAGGAGGAATATAGGGGAACCAAATAAGACATCATGGGAAAAAATAATAATGCTAAACACAACAAAACAAAGACATCCTGCAGGGGAGGAGGAGGGAGAGAGATCAGAGGGAGGGAGGGAGGAGCACAGGGGACTGAGGTAATGGTGCAGGGTGCATTGATGAAGGAAACTATGGGGCTACACCTGATGGGGTGGAGGGAAGAAAACACTGTTTAAAAATGAACAATGATGAAAAAAAATATATTAAAATTAAAAAAAAAGTTTCAGTTTCCAAAAATCTATGAACAATGTTACCGAGGAGTTACTGTATTGATATTTTACATGCTTATGCTCTTAGTGCTGGTTAGTGGCAAAAAGAGGGTGCGCCTGATTGGGAAAAGAGGGGTATAGAGAAGAGTGCACATCTTTAGTGGCCTCTGTGACTGATGACATTACCAGTTATAGATGCTAACAAAAGGAAGGAACCTCCTCTGAGGGTGCTGTTTGGCGACTATACTCTTTGCCTCCCCACACAGTCTGTTTTTACTTCTTCTTTTTATTACTTCTTAAGGAAGGTAAAATTGGTTCACAACACTGTATATGATTCAAAAGTACAGGATCCCACCACACCATATCCACCAAATCTTCCACCATTTTTGAAAGCAGCTGTGAATTTCCCACTGATCTCCATTGAAATGGAAAGTCTGACCCTGGGTAGACTGACTCCCTGACCTGTTATTTCCAATTTTGGGTGAATTGACTTAGACTCAAAATGAAAAAGAAGCAGTAATGGAAATGGCACACTTGACAATGTGGCTGGCCTGACCCCAGAGGCATCTTGAATCTATGTGAAAAATGACAGCTGCTCTACTCCACCACCTTTAGCCAAGCTGCTGGTTCACTGGACTCTTGACTCACAGAAATGCCCCAATAAGGTCTGGGCCTGCCTCACTGATAGTTCAAGTAAGCTGACATCTGGAGGCATCTACTGGATAGCCGCAACAGTTCAGCCTCAGGGCCAAGTATTCAGAACTGTGAACGGTCCTGGGCATTCCACTCAGCAGGCAAATTCAAGGCCATTATAAAGCTGGCAAATACTACTCTTGATAAACCTCATTTTATTTTCACTTACAAGTAGGTTGTTGCCATGACCTGATTATTTGAACTGACACTTGGAAAGCTACATACTAGAAAATTAAAGACACCCCCCCTTTTTTTTTTGCACAGCACACTGAGGAAATAGTGGCTGGTGACTGAATCATCTGTGTCACTCTTATAGGCAGATCCATTCTCTGTTGAAACTGACTGGAATCAAACTACCAGTTGAGCCCACACTGCCCAACCTGTCACCATTGTGAACTTGAACCATCATTACACCAGCAGTGCATCAACTATTATATTGGGTACCAAGTAAGAGATCCTGTTTTTGATCCTGTTTTGATACCATTGTATGACAATCTTTTATGTTGACAAAGGTTGTCACAGCCACCTTGCTTTGAGGCACAGTGTGGGGTATTGTCCATACATATTCTAACACTTTAATTATATCTGACTTTGACCGCTTCTGGCCCTATAAATGGCACCTCACTGCTGTTTACATCTTTTTAGGTTATGTGTTGCTGTTTCAGTCCGATAAGATTACTCTGGCCACACCATTGTGACTCGTAAAACTAATCTTTATATTTTGGCTTAAATTTCTGGACCACTTCCTTTCTGACAATGGTGTGTGTACCTTTTATCGCAAAACAATTCAACAATGGGCTGATGGTCAGATATTGGATGGGCCTTTCATATCCCCTACAATTCACTGGGATCTGGTGCTATTAAACATTAGGACATTTACCTCAAAAATGGACTTTGAAGATGTCCAGCTCTGTCTTTCTTCTGGTCCACACATTAGTCAGGTAGTTTGGCCAAATGAGTGCAGTTGTTTCCCTCCTCTGAGCTGCATTCTAGATAAGGGCCAGCATGAAAGTGCTAGGAGACACTACTGAGTAATTCTGAAAATTCAGAACACCTGCTGATCACGTGAGCATGCCATTCTCCTTTTCTCTAACAGCAGCTCTAGGCCGGCCTGGTAGTTACATCTTCTGAGAGGCCAGTTGACCAAAACAAGGCAGGGGAATCATATTTCACACTGTTTTAGAGATACGGAGTTACCTTTCGCATCAACATGAACTTAGATGAAAAATATAATGGCCGATTGGAAGAATAAAGTGCTTGCCGAGCCCCCAACAGAGGTCGATGTGGACAAAAATGGGGGCCATAATGGGTCTAAATTTTCAAAAATCCTCATGTCCTTCTAGATGAAAGGTGTGGGTGTGAATAGGGGACGACTGGATAAAAATGGAGTTACAACTATTGAAATGGGACATAAATGACGGGGGAATAGAGGGAAAGGAATAAATCTGGGAGCTGAGAACAAGGCTCTGTGGGGGAGAGAGGGATACTGCTAATGCCTTTCTGAACTACCCTGGAGGCTTCCTCAAGATTGAAAACACCTGGTGCAATTTTTTTTTTTAGATTGATTTATTTATTTATACAGAACCAGGGTACAAGCCAGATGTGCAGGAGGGTGAGAGAATTCACCAGAGCCAGAGCAGGGAACAGAACAGGCAGACTGACGAAATAACACTGCTGAGGGGAGCAGTGGGCGTGACAGGAGAGGTCTGCCGTACCATGTGGGACCCTTGCTGGCCGGGATTGAACCGCGCTGCAGAGGCTGCGGACAGCTTCACAGCGCAGTTCTCAAGCACCTGTGCCGCCAGGGGAGGCCCCTGGTGCAATTCTGTTACGGAATTTTGACTGCTGGGCCTGACCTCCCTCTATAACCTCTGTAGTGCTTTAGTACCTTAGTAAAAGATAGTAAAAAAAAAATTTGTGGAAACAGCAAAGGGTGGCCCTGGTTCCTATGCCAACCCTCCCTGGTCCCTCTCCACACACAAATGACAATACCAAAACACCTATCCAAAGCTCCTGCACCCATATATACCCACATTTATTCCCATATGCCATGCCTTTGGTGGTAAGGACAGACAGCACAGCTGGGATGAATGCCTCTTAAAATTGCCTAAAACAAGGACTATTTTCAGCTAAAACAAAATCTGCTGTTTTCACAGACTTTTTACTATCTTTACCAGGAAGGTACTAAAGCGCTACGGAGGTTATAGAGGGAGGTCAGGCCCAGCAGTCAAAATGTTTTAGCAGAAGTGCACCAGGTGTTTTCAATCTTGAGGCTCTTAATTGTTTGAATTGAACTGGGAACGCCAAGGCCAGAAAGTCACCTTGCAGAGGTTACACTGTTACCTGTGCCCTTCGCTAATGTAGGTCCCATTTGAAGGGACCTAACAAATGTAAAATAGGTGTTAACCTGTCTCTCTGGACACATGGTGACTTTTATCTTTCAGAAGAGATTTTCAAGCACTTTAGGACATACCACAGATCTCTCAGCTAGACCTTATGTGACCATGGAGCTATATAAAGCTATAAAGCTTGGTTATTTGGGAAAGCTTCTAGAAAAATGACCAATTTGTTGTTCATGTACAGTTTGGGGGCCATGACCCTTCAATGGAGATCATCCAATTAGTAAAGTTGGTAGAAATCTGTGTCTGTGTAGGGTAAGGTAAAAAAGCATCAGGCTTTTCTGCCCTCCTGCCATTAGGATTGATGATGGATCCTTGGGGTCCTGAATGCATGCCTGATGGCGGGCACCTGGAGTAGGGTGTGGGCATGTGTAGATGGGATTCACTTGGGCCAAGACTGAACTTATAAGGTCAGCATCACGGGGATGCCAGAAGAGGGCAGAACGTGAGAAAAGGCTGGAGAGCCCAGAAAGAGTAAAGACTTGCTGGGGGCTAGGAGGCCTGCCAGCCTCCCTGCCCGCCCCAGCACCTCTGCCTGCCGTGTACCTGGTAAATCCCAATAAAAGCCTGCAAAAGCCATTGAGGGCTCCAGGACTCACTCCCTCCTTCACTCGTCTGCTTGGGTCATAGAGATCCTGCTCATTGTCCATCCTGCCCCTTACAGTCTGTCTTTATCTAAAAGGATTGAAGATACCCTCTTGTTCACACCTCAGGACTGTAGTTTTTATGGAAGCCACATTTGCTAGACTGTGTCCTGGGGATCCTCATACTCTGGGAAATTGTCCCTATATCCTGCAGTGCCTGGCTTAGGGCTATGGACCAAGTGGGACTGTCAATCCAGACAAGGAAGCAGCTGGTCTCCTAAGGCATATGCTTAATAACTATGGGATTTATTCAGCTGGATGGGACCAGGAGCCAGGGGGTACAGTTGAGGTCAGTACTGCAAACTAAATTCTGTCCTTAGCCATCTTAAATCAATGATGTGTGAAATAAAGTTATTTAGTTGACAGAATTTAGCTAATAGTACTCAGATATCATGTTGAGCCCGAATCTTCTCAGTGTAGGCCACCTCTTCCCTTTAGAGTTGTTCACACATGCATACTGCTAGATACATTTCTGAAGAGTAAACTGAAAAGCAGAATTAAAATATACATGGCAGCAAATTTGCTCTCTGGAAATACAATGCTAGCTCTTCATGTGTTAAAATTACTGAGTCAGTGTCTTGAAACAGCTGTCTTTATGTATAACAATCTGAATTGAAATGCCTGCATGCTTTTGATATTTTCTTAAAATGTTTGCAAGGTTTTGGCAATTCTGTTCTTTTACTGTGTTATCAAGAAATCCCTTTTATATGATGAATGCTTGTTTTAATATATTGTGGCTAAATGATATCTGGACAAATGCCAGTAGCAAATACTCAACCTCTTGTGAAAATCAAGTAAGATGTGAAACCAGTATATAAACTTGGAGTATTGGTGGTGTTCTGTTGAACACTATGAACACAAATATCTTTGGCAAGGTAACTTAGAGAAAGTTGTAGAAAAGAAAAAAAAAAACACAATACTACATTAGGATTTTTCATGTTGCCTCAGTCTTTATTTTAAAAATTATTTTTAAAAATTAAATAATTACTTAAAAGGTCTCCAAATTTTCAGAAACATGCATCTGAAAAATAATACACAAATGTTTGTCCAAGTAAATGTTTGCTATTAGTCTCTATGGTGCTAAGCATGTTCACAATGAATAAATAAATCAGTATCTTGTTGATATTTCTTAATATTTTAAATTATCACTTATTAAATTATAAATTGGCAGTAAAATCACTTTCACAAAGAATATTACGTACGTGTACGTTAACTGCCCAATCTTGAGTCATTTGTTTTGGCTATCAAGTTCTGCTGGTAGTTTTGTAAGAATCCATGACTTCAGCTTTTCTAGCTCATTTTTGCTAAGCTCATGGTAAACACCTGGGAAACTGTGAAACTTTGTATTCACTCCTAAAGATTTCAACTTCAAGTTTGTCTCTTCGCCCCACTCATGAAGAACTAACTCATCTGCAGTGCCATGACACTGAAATAATTCAGGAAGCACACCATCCCTATTTTGAAGTTCCTAGAGAAGAAATAGAAGTGGAAAAGTTTAAGAAACTCATTTAAGAACACTATTCTGGGAAATCTGAGAAGGCCAAAAAATTTCAATTTTACCAAAGCTTCAACTGTAAAGAGAAAATAGAGCAGTGGTACTGCTCTCTGGGTATCACTGATCAGGCCTGGAGTTCCCTGGACCCTGGCACCACCTGAGCTGCAACTGTGTTTGACCTGCATTTGCCCAGGAGAATGGTCCAGAAAATGGTCAAGGGAGTTCCTGAAGAAACCACGTTGACTGGGAGAATGAACCTCTGTGAAGTGGAAGGAGGGGGAGCACAGAACTGTGGTAAAATGGGGAAGAATGATACTCCCATTCTCATTTCTGGGCCAGCTGCCTCTATTGGCAATGAAGCTGCAATACTATAATGTATCTGTTATACTGCTGTAAAACAGTATCGGCAGTATAACTGAGTCTTGGCTTTGGCTGTGGTCATGACATAATAAACAAACCTTACTATAATCATCTACATTTTTAATAAATGCAATGGATACATATGCACATTTTTAAAATTTGTCCCCTTTTGAGATTTTGCTTAACATTATTCTTTGGACAGGGCAATTCCTGCACATTCATGAGCGCCATTTAATCTAATATGACCAATGTGGTCACAACCTCAGGAATGCTCTGTGCATTAATCATTACTGCTTCATTACCAACTTTGTTTTAGTTTCAATGTGTAAGTATTTCATGTTTTTCTGTCTTGTTTTTAAAATCTGGAACTTACCTGGTAAACAGCAGATGCTTTATTCAGAAAACTAGAAAGAGCAAACACTCCTGCCACATCTTGATGAGCTCTATAGGCTAGATGCATGGCCATGCACCCTCCCATAGAAAATCCTCCTAAGAGAAGCAAAAATTCAGTTCTCAGAAAGAGGAGAATATATGCAACAATAATTTAGAACAAGAGTCTATCTCTGCCAGCAATATAAATCTACTCTAAGCTATATCTTGAAAATATTTGGAGACCTTTAAAGAGATATGGCACTAAAGATCTCACAAAGACAGACCTGCTATGAGTAAATAACACTGTTTCATCTATGTCATCACTGGGAGATTTGTTATAAGAGGAGCTAGACTTACAAGAGAAATTGGGCCCGTCAAGTAGAAATATTTAACATAATTCAAAATATGAATCATAGTACAAGTGTTATTTATTTAAACTAATGTCTACTTGTATTTTGTTTATGCGTATAATATAGGAATCCTCACACTGCAAGTACAATTAATAACACGCATCTTTAGTCCCACTTGCCAACATATGAGCTCAGAAGGATTTACATTTCCAGGATTGACCTTATAATTGAGACTCAGTGATCTTTAAATGAGGGGGCTGATCAATAATTTGGTTAGCCAGTTCAAGCATTTTTTAAACATGTACATCCATATGAGATTTTTAAAAAAATTAATTGAGTGATTTCAGGTACTCAACATTGCTACTTACTGGAGATACACATATTAAAACACAAAGACACTTCTGTTCAAGGTGGGGAAGACATATCACAGAACATAGAGGTATCTTTCTTATGTTTCATGAAAAAATACAGACAGTAAACTACATAGTCACACACTTGTAACAATAACAAATATACTTTGGTGTAGAATTCATACCTCCTAATTTCCAACCTACTGCTGTAGTTCACTTAACGTATAAAACTGATTCCTTAGGGACAACTTTGGATTTACTACAATCTTTAATAGATGAAGGGAACTGAGAAGCCCCAAGAGATTAGGTGACCTACTTAAGGCTGCACCCCAAATTTTAGCTATAAAATTAGAACTGAAAGCAGATAACGTCCAACTGAGTTTAGCGTACTTTCTGCTATCCTAATATTTATTAGAATAAAATTATTTCATATGGGGAAGATTGAAATTATTTTAGATCCAGGGTACAAATGTATGAGTGAGGGTTACTAGCTTGGGGAGTTTAGAGTTTTAAAATGTTTATATAATATGGTGCCTCCCTGGTGGCTCAAGGGGTTAAGAAGCAGCACTATGAAGCAATCAGCAGCCACTGCAGCAGTTTGATCCCAGGCCAGGGAGGTGACCCACATGGCGTAGACCTCTCCTGACTTGCCCGCTGCTCCCCTCAGCAGTGTATTTCAGGCAGTCTGCCTGTTCTGTTTCCCATTCTGTCTCTGGTGAATCCTCTCACCCCCCGCACCTCTAACCTGTGCCCCAGTTCTTGTATGCATAAATAAATCTTAAAAAAAAAAGAGAATATATTATGTAAATAACTAAAGTGTGTGATAAATATTACATCTGGGTTTCAACATGCTAGAAAGAAATGACAGGGTCTCATCAGTAGCAGTAGCTCATCATGAATGAGAACCATTCAAACAACTCTTTGAAATAACCCCACAACACGTCTGAATAAGGGTACATATAATTAGAGGTTCAGGAATGACCTTGGTGGGGGAGGAACAGTAAAAAAACTATATGCAAAATTTGTTTATGTGCATTAGATCCCAAAAAGGATAAAAACAACTGAGCCATGTTATCTGTGAATGTGTACATTAATAAATCTTTGATATGCCCCATGTGGGTATGAAGAGTTCACTGCAGACAAGATGGACATATCAAACATTCATATTAAGTATGCAATAAGAGTTCCAAGCTTTTGCCATATTTCTAGTTATGGACTTGTCCTTGCTTCTCAAGTTTTTCCATGTAATATCATGTGGCCTCTTAAAAATAAAGACTCCTAGACAGCCCTAGAGCCACTAACACAATTTCAAAGCCTATGTCTAATTTTTAACAGCTCACCTACTTACAAGTCAAATGTATGAAAATCACAGTCTTAGAAAAATTTTAATAGCTGCAAGGCAGACAATTCAAAATTAAGTGTAATGGCTAAGAACAGAAAGTGAAAATGTGGTCACGATTTAAAAGAAAAGCACATGTTACAGATACCAAGGCTGGAGGATAAGGATTTACTTTCTGGAGAAATTCAAGATCTTAAGTTATATTTTTGTCAAATGTACCTAAGGAACATATTAAATGTAACTAGTGTGACTGAGAAACTAAATGTTTAATTTTATTTAAGTTTAAATAGTCACATGGCTAAAGGTTATCATGTTCAACAATGAAGTTCTACATAATCTAAGCTGCCTCATTGATTGAAAAGGGATTCGAAATCCACAAATGGGGCAAAAAGAAAAATATTGCATAAAGTATTGAGGCTAATATTATTAAATATGATCTTTTTAGGTGTTAAAATTTTTTCAGAAATATCACAAGAAATATATGAACAAAAACAGATTAGTAAGTAAAAACATATAAAAATTATTCTAAAAGTAAAGCTACTAAGAAAATTTTACACATTAAATGTGCCCTCTAGCCCTTCATTTTCAGTGGCTAGGGAAACATAGTTGCTATATCTGGTTCCAGAGTCTTCTCGATGGGACTGGTCCAACAACAAAAAAATAAAATATCTTCCCACATAAAAAATGTCATTATGAACAAACAGATGCATCCAGCAGATATTCAACCTCATATCTGATTCACGATTATAGTGAAGAAAAAATGTACTCATTGAAATCTTACGATTTAAAGACTTAATCTAAGTCCCGTACCCATTTATAATCTTGTGAGGTAATCTGCGATCCCCCACCAGCCATCTTTGACAGTACAATCACCTTTAGCAACAGACACTACTGTGAAAGGGGACTTTGTGTATTTTTTCTAACAGAAGAAAATTTAACACAAAGGACTAGTTATTTGAATTCAATTTCCATCTAAGTGTCTAAAGTGCAATATAAAATATACTGTTCAATAAGTGGATTCCAAATAGTAAACTCATTGTAGGTAATGGTTATAGTGTATATTTATAGTTGCTGGCAAAGTATTAAAATGTCAAGAGTTAAAATTTCAACATACATTTAAGATTAACAAGCTGAATAAAACATGTTAAAAAATAATAAACTTAGCTTTTATGAACTCTTTAAATAAAATAAAACAGAAACAATGTTTAAAAAAAAAAAACTATACTGTGAAAACTAAGTTAATCTATCTGAAAACAAAACCCAGAGGACAAAATACTTACAATCCAAATGTACCATCAAATGAACAGGATTATAAAAATTCAACAAAACCCACCCTTTCTCCAAATTTCAACAAGTCTTCCATTTAATTTATATCTTCTAATTATTCTTGATTTGGGAATATCTAAGTTATGCCCGCCATATGAATTAGTGTTATTTTCTCTCATACAAAGGGTCCAGAGTCACCAAAAGAACAGCAGCCCTAGGCTTTTAAAGTTCTTATACTTGTTGAAGAAAAGTAAGTGGCTACAACATGTGTGCGTTAGAAGGACAGCACAAGAATCTATTCTTGTCAGGTGCTCACTGCAGAAGCTTGAGAAGAAACATCCCAAGGACAGGACAATAGGCCTGGGATCTGGGTGGCGGATGCCATCATGGCAATTCTAGCTATCCCTGCATTCTTATTTTAAATCTTACTATAAAATTAGTATATTCACATATATTAATATATGTGGTGCAAAGTGTTTCTACCATGCAGACAGAAACAAAGACAATGAGTCACCTAAAATCTTACTACTCATAGATAATTTTGACATTTAAAAAAATATATATTTATTCATACAAGAACTGGGGTGTAGACCAGAAGTGCAGGGGGTGAGAGGATTAACCAGAGACAGAGTGGGGAGCAGAACAGGCGGATCTACTGAAATACACTGCTGAGGGGAGCAGCGGGTGAGATAGAAGTCTGCTGCGCCATGTGGGTCAGCTACCTGGCTGGGGATCAAACTCATGCCGCAGTGGCTGCCAATTGCTTGACAGTGCTGAGACTTAACCCCTTGTGCCACCAGGGAGGCCTATAATTTTAACATTTTTTTTAGGAAATTCATCTTTATAAACCTCACTCTACCTGGACAATTTATATCTTATTTTTTTCTATCGGGTAGTACTTATTTAAAAGTCTTTCAACAGCATACAAAACTGACTAATTATTTTTTATTCATTTAACATATACTTACTACCTGCTTTCTATGAGCTGACAGCAATTACTCGTTACATAATATTCAACCGTATTAACAGACCGTAATTCAAGCGATGGGCATTTATAAAGTATTCAAGTAAATTACTCAGGTATAATTCCAGAAGCATTTGATTCCCTGTGCTTTAAAAGTCTGACAGTATACTCAAATCAAAATGTTTATAATCTGGTCACATAACACATCAGGTTCTATACATTCCAGATCAAAGTTAAACCAAAATTATACTTTCTCTTAACAACAAATTATCACCACCTAGTGGCCAAAAAAGGAATTTCATCATGGTACAAAATTCTTGACAAAATCAGTGGATCTGGGTTCCAGTCCCAACTCTATTTTATATTAGCCAGCAATCTCTTTGGAGTTTAGCTTCTTCAAACTGAAATGAGAAAAATTTTCTAAGGGTCAAGAGTGATACTATATTTGAAAGCAACTGTGTAACTAAAACACTAAATATATAACTGATATAGAATGAAATTTAAAAACTGGCATATAATAAAAATGTCAACAATTTTAGTCATATTACTATCACATAGATTTTTTTAAGTGCAATAGTACACAAAGGAAAAGTGATACACTGTTTCCCATTTGACTTCTCACATTATCCAGAAACATGCTAGAAGAAAATGAAAAGTTTCAAGATCAACATTAAAGAGAGGCAGAATGTACAATGGATCAGGTTTATATTCTGTACATCAGACCCTCTTAACATGCAGGAAAAGCCAGAAGAACACAGGGTAATCTAAAATTATTAATAATTTTAGTGGAATACAGGGTTTGAATCCAAGTTTTATCAATGAACATAAAAGGCTAGCATTCAGAGAGTAACTTGAAAGTCACTATTATAATGCCTGTGCTCCCCTAACTTCTTTCATCCTCTCTGGAGAATTCCATGTTGTATGAATATATAAAAATAAACTTTCTTATGTTTGATATTCTTAATGTAGAGAATGTAGAGTGAGGAGTTACAAATATCTCCAAGGAACTTTTTTTTTAAGATTTATTTTTTATTTTTATTTATTTATTTTATTTATTTATACAAGCACTGGGTACAGTCAGAAGCATGGGAGGGTGAGAGAATTCACCAGAGCCAGAGCGGGGAGCAGAGCAGGCAGAAGGACCGAAGTACACTGCTGAGGGGAGCAGCGGGCAGCAGGAGAGGTCTGCGCGCCATGTGGGACCCTCCTCTGGTGGCCGGGGAGCAGCCGGGGATCGAACCGGCGCGGCAGAGGCTGCAGGCAGCTTCGCAGCCGAGCGCTCAACCGCTGCGCCACCGGGGAGGTCCCAAGGAACTAATTTTTATTGCACATCTCTATATATGCATTCTACTTCCTGGGATAGGAAGTGAATCTTTTGTTTCATTTTCCCTATTTAACCAAAGTTTCTTTTTTTAATTTTCCCATTAATCAAGTAATACATATATCAGAAAACAAGGAATTTGCTTGCATAGCCCATACCTGCAATCTAATTTTATTCATCCTTGGGTCTCCAAATCCTGGAACAGTTTATGTATTAGTCTCTCCTCATTCTAATGGGTTTATCATTTGCCACCTTGTTCTTTTCCTGGCCTTCAGATCAGTCAGCCCCCCATAGTGCTGTCAACATAATCTTTCTAAATTGAACATTCAATCATCATTATGTACAATTCAATAATCCTAGGAATTGGAGCACATACCAAACTGGTATTTCCTAAGATTCTCATATGTCCCTTTCATGTATATGTTTCCCTCCTTTTTACCCAGCCATATTTTCACTCATTCCTTAAAACTCAGGAGAATCATCTTTTCTAAAAAAGAGTTCTTGACTCCCCCCTGCCAAATTTACTTCTTCCTCATTGCTTACACTGTACCTTGTACATATTTTTACAATATTTGCACCGGGCTAGAATAGTTTTGTTCTATGTCTCATTAGACTGTAAATTTTTTTGCAGGGCCTCCCGGGTGGCCTACAGGTTAAGTCTCAGCGCTATCATTGCTATGGCCTGAGTTTGATCTCCACCAGGGAGCTAACCCACATATGGCATAGCCTGGTGCTCCCCTTAACAATGTATTTCAGTAAATCCACTGTTCTGCTCCCCATCTATCTCTGGTGAATCCTCTCACCACCCCCCCACTCCTCTGGCCTACACCCCATTCTACGCAAAAATAAAAAGAACATTCTTAAAAAAAATAAATTTTTGATAGATTATTGAGTATTCCAGCACTTACAATTTCTATTAACTATATGGAGATCAAATTTAGTATGAGAAGTACCATTTCTGACCTGGATAGATGACCTAGCTGGATAGACTACCTAGAAAAGGCTGGATGTTTAAATTAATTTCTTTTAAAATTAAGTTTAATACAATAAAATTCCACTAATCAAAATAAAAAAAACTGTTACACAGTAATGAAAATCAGTAAGGATAACAATGTTTGTACTTATCATCTCCATTTTTGGGGGGTCTTAAAATTTTTCCTCTTACAACAATTTTTTTAATACCCTAACCTAACTAAGGTATGTGTGTGTGTGTGCTTAATAAAAATTATGCAGGATTACTGAATCCCACCTTCATTTAAGTGTCATGAATAACACTTAAATCATAACTTAAAATGTGCTATTATAGACACTGTACAAAAGCATTTAAAAAAGTAGAAACATATTAAGCAGAGACTTCTGTTTAAATAATCTATGAGCAGTGAAAAAGAAAGAGGCGAGCACAGCATGGACACAAGGAAAGGACAGTTGGTAGAAGAAAAATGACCAGTGACTTGGGTCTCCAAGTGGCAACACTGATCCCAAGGGCTCATGTGCTATCTGGAGAGACAGCATATTTAGTAACAGAAGGAAAGGATTTACAACATTACACGCCAGGCACATTTCTAACTATTTTACATGAATAGATTAATCATTACAACTTTGTAAGATGGGTGCCATTATCATCACCTAAGCACAGAAGCTATGGAGACTTGTGTATATGCAAATTAGGGATAGGTCATGCCATTCATTACAAATTTCCTGAGCCTCTGCTCTGTACAGTAATAACTTTACACGTTCATTTCCTTGGAAGAGCTTTGGGACACTCATCACTGGCTGGATGACGTCAAAGTTATCTGTCTCAGTGCCTCATGGGCCTTTGGGACTGTAAGTCATTGTGAGACAGAGTCTGCTTTATTTATCTGTGTCCCACTGAGGACCCAGCATACTCCCTGACACATAGTGGGAATTTAAAAAGGAGACTTGCTAAATGAGTGAATGATGGAACCTGCCATACAGTTACACAGTTGGAATTCTATTTGTAACTGCTTCATTGTCCCCTAGAATGAGTTGGATGGCCCTTCTCTATACTTTCCCAGGACTCCCACAATTTTCAAAGTTCCTCTCCATTAAACACTGATTTAAATATAGGTACAGAGAAACAGAGAAATACAGTTAAACACAGATAAAGAAAGGAGAGTTAGAAAGGAGATTGATGTTACCAGGCTGGGATTACACTGTTTTTAACTAACAAAAGTTCCATACATTAACAAACATGAAGAAAGTTTATTAACTTAGCCCAAATCCTATCTATAAAGGATTTTAATATGCATTTTGATGTTACTTAGAACTTCATGTATATACTTAAATTGCTTTGTAATTTCATTATTAAATATAACTTATTAATTTAATAAAACTCCTTCACAAAATACATCCTGTACCATCCATATTCTACACAACCCATCTCATGTTTGTGTATATTAGAGAGATAGATTTTAATAGATTATGTACTTGGTATTAGAGAAAAGAAAAAGGGTGTTAAGTATGATAAAGGGCTTATGTAAAGGTACAATATATCCCCTACAGAACAAAGATTACTAAAGACACATTTACCAAAAGTTTACAAATACCTTATTCATTCCTGAGAGTAAATCTTAAGTGTTTACTTTTCATAAACATGATGTTATATTTCAACTCTGTACTCTAACCATGGCAACGGCAGTTTAAAAGTAGTCATAAACTTAATCTAATTCGAGTGTTTTAAAAATTGAAATGAATAATCTCTAAATTGAACATTAACCATGGAATTCTCAGATTATGTTATTAAAAAGAATATCAACTGACATATCATATACACATGAACAAGTGAAATACATGTACTTCTAAATAATATTCTAAGTAAAGTTCAATGTATAGAATTAACCAAGTGGAAAAAATTTTTAATTATGACTTAAAGTTCTTACCTACTAATATCCTGTTCTTCTCGATGCCACTTTTCACTTCATTATCAATCAAATCTGTAAGTATTCGACACATTAAGTCAATTGATTCAAGGTGTTCTGGAGCGTCATTAGATATTTTAAACCTGTCAAACCATACATTGGAGATTCCTCCTTTCATAGGAGTATATGGCCTGTTGGAAACCACAAAAAAAGCAAATATTAAAAATGAATATTTTAATTTCTACAATATCAGTATTTGGGGTCATTTTAACTTCCTCCAAGTTTTGTAAGGTAAAGAAACCATATTAAAAACATCTTATGAATACTGCATTAACTCTCCTACACTTAGGATGATCCCATTAACATTTACTAATACCAGGTCATATTTATTCTTTCTTCTACCTTTTAAGATTCATAAATTCTCCAAAATATCTCCACGACAAAAAGAGAATTAAATATACTGTTTGTTTTTTTTTTCAGCTCAATTTAAATGACTTAGGTAGGTTTATTTTTTCTTTTCAATTTCTGCTTTGATTTACTTTAATCTCTTTTTCCCCTTTAATGTAAGGATCAATATTTAAGCATTCACAGAGAAATAAATGCCCATGCAAAAAATTCATTACCTCAAGAGTGGAAAAAAAAAAGATTGACCAAAATGCTTCTAAAGGTGTTTACTGAAGGGGCCTCCCTGGTGACACAGGGATTAAAGTCTCAGCACTATCAAGCCATCACTAAACCCTAGGGCATGAGTTCGATCCCTGGCCAGGGTGTTAACCAACATATGGCACAGCAGACCTCCCTTGTCTCACCAGCGGCTCCCCTCAGCTGAGTATTTCAGTAGATCTGCCTGTTTTGCTCCCCACTCTGTCTCTGGTGAATCCTCTCAACCCCCACACTGCTGGCCAGCACTCCAGTTCTTGTATGCATAAATAAATAAAAATAAATCTTTTTTAAAAAGGTGTTTAATTTATAGCACATCAGTAAGAAATCTCAGTTAATAATTTAAGGGCTTTCTTGATCATATCCAGACAGACAATCCTTAGAATAAGGAATGTAAGAATCAAGATCTAAGATAAAAATCAAGATTTGGAACTAGTTTTTAAAAATCTTAGGAAACTTGAAACAAGAGTTTATTAGGATATAAATAATCTGTGGAAGCAATGGTCAAACAGGTATTCCACACTGTTTGCATGTATGGATGCAACATGGGACGAGATGCTGTGAACTGGTGTCTTGTGGAATAAGGATGATCTTTTAAGATATTTTACATTTAAGTGTGAGATAGAATGGTTACATTAGAGGGAATCTTAACCCATTCATTGTGTATTCATCCAGCATGCTCTATTAAAGTGTGTGTGTCAAGGGCCTCCCCTGGTGGCACAGTGGTTGAGCGCTGGGCTGCGAAGCTGCCTGCTGCCTCTGCAGCGCCGGCTCGATCCCCGGCCGCCAGGTGAGGGTCCCACATGGCGCACAGACCTCTCCTGCTGCCCGCTGCTCCCCTCAGCAGTGTATTTCGTCAGTCTGCCTGTTCTGTTCCCCCCTCTGGCTCTGGTGAATTCTCTCACCCTCCCATACTTCTGACTGTACGCAGTGCTTGTATAAATAAATACAATTTTTTTTTAAAAAAAGCATGTGTTTCAAGACAGTCCAAGCATTCTCTTTTAACCAATGACAAAGGAGAAATGGGCACTGTGTTCAAGTCCTTTGTGGATAAAGGTAAAGAAGGGGGAGAAAAAGAGATTCCTGTAGGCAAATGCAAAGAAGTATACAAACATACAAAATAAACATGGAAGAACAAAGGATTTCCCAAGATGAGGAAAAGAGTTTCATACAAAATAGTGTTTTTCACTCAGCAAGCTTTGTCTTCTCCTTCTGTGACAGTGAGAAGAGGAATCTGTGGTACATGCAAGAATGCCATAGAAAACACAATCTGTGCCAAAGGTGCCATCATTACCTGAAAGAGATATAAACCCGCGATGAGCACGGATGCAAGATTCCTCCTGCTCTGCCCCATCTCACACTTAGCTGTACCCGTGAAAGTCCATGAGAGCCAGAACCTGAAGAAATGGAGGGCTGAGGCACCCACTGAGACCTGAATGCATTTCTGTGTATGTTCTCCAGTGAAAACTCACTGGAACCTTAGCAAATGCAAGTCGGTATGACTTTCAGGTCTAATTTTCTCATCCGCTGTATCAAAGGAGCCCGCGATCCCTGCTCCTGGGGAACTGCCACTCTAGGACCAGTGGGAGGTGCTGGAGGACACAGGAGAGCATTTCTGTGCTGATCACACCACTCCAAAATAAACAGATGCACTTCAGGAGCCTGGAATTTGAGAGGGCTGTATTTGGAAAGTTTCTCAGGGAAAATGAAAGAAACCTGGAAACAAGAAAGGTGATCTGACTCAAATTTAATGAGAACTCATCCACAGAGGATCTTTCATTTACCGAAATAGAACCAAGTTACAGAAGTTACTTGGACGCATGCTTTCTGAAACTTCAGTCATGTTTCAAATATCCCTAAAAATCAGTACATTTAAGCCTAACATCTTCTCCCAGGTTATGAAGATACATTTTTTTTCAAATGTGGGGAATGGTGTATATGTTATCTGGGTGTTTTTCATATAAATCTTATTTTTTGTTCTACTCCTCCTTGCCTCTCCCACTCCTCCTTCTCTCCCTCCCCCAAGTCTTGGTTTCACAGGCACATGGCATTTCCGATCTGGATACAGCCCTTGATGTCTTTCTTGTGCACACATCTTTACAGAATATATTTGAGGACTCCTTTAACAATTCCTCAATAAATTAGTTCTAACCAGTTCTTTAGACTGGCAATATTGTATCTCGTGATAGACATGTTTGACTGTCTAATCAGCCACCCTCTGATAATGGGCATTTGCTGGGTAGGTCAGTCACCTAGAACAATGCTGCATTACACATATTGGCATCGATGTTTTCTACACTCTGGTATTTTCATGCCCACATATCACAGTCAAAGAAACAGGACTGCTGAATTGAAAGGCATACCTTTTATATTACTAGATGTTCAAAACTGCTTCCATGAAGGACATAAATAATTCAGCTTCCTACAAGAAAGGTGAGAGAATATCCTTTTGCCTAGAGCCCTAATAGCAAGAAGGTGCTAACATATTTAAAATGTCAATATTTAATGGCACCAACTATAGTTTTAAAATCCTATTTTTAAAAACTAATTTACATATATAAAAATATGTTTTAGGTCTATAGTTCACAAACTTTAGACAATTTAAACTTCCACAATTAAACAGAGCATTCTCTTTTCCTCAGAAAATTCTATCACACCCCTTTGCAAGTGATTCATGCCCTTCATAGGTAACCACTGAGTCACTTCCATTACTATAGGCTGGTGCTATCTGTTCTAGAAGTCCACATAAGTACAATTTCCAGTTCATATAACTTGCTATCTTTTTCTAGTGTGATTTTGATTATTTTTTATTAGTTTAGAAGACCACTTTGTCTATTATGACACAAATAGTAGTCATTTGTATTTTTAAGTGTTTTTCTAACCTGTTTTTGTATATTGACAATAATTTTTAATAAATCTTTAACATAAAATTCTTTACAATGATGAAATCTGACCTTTAAAAAAAAAACAAACTAAATTTCCAGGCCTCATGATTTAAGAAGCAGTTACCAATCTACACATTTTTACAGAGAATCCAAAATTTATTTCTAAGATTTTTGCTTTCATTTTTACATTTAAGCCTGGAACAATTCTAAAATTTATTTCACACATGAAGTGGTCTAAGGGTTCAAATTAATTTTCTCCAATATGGATAGTCCACTCTATCTGCACTACTATTTAAAAACACAGACAACCAAAAACCCCACTTCTGTTTCACAGGTGAAACACCATCTTTGCCTTATATTTAACTTTATAGTTCTGAATTACCTGGTCCCTCTCAACCTAGGGTCTGTGTGAGAATTAAGCCCGTGTAACACATGCACTAACAAAATGAACAGACTTCTCTCCCATGCATCTAGAATGTCACTAGTTCTGTATGCCCTTGGGAAAAAGAAATAGCTATTCAAATCAGGTAAATCTGCAAATCAGGTAAAGAACTCTGGTTGGAAATGCTCCATTCTGTCCCACTGACCTACTACTCATCCCTGTGTCAGGATCACAATGGCCACATTACAGTGGGTTTAGGAGGATGTTCTCTCCTACCTCCTGCCCTCCTCATCGCTCCCAATCTCTTTTTCTACTTGTTCTACCTATTCTCAGGCATCTATTCTTCTTTATTTATCTAATTAGTTAAAATATTTAGCAGATTGTAAAATAATCTCAAGTAATCCTCCTTTAAAGTCCTAGTGAGATTTTAACTAATACTGCATTATTATCTGGTGTTTATGATTTTGTGACATAAATCTGAAAGGCTGTGCTCTTCCCATCATTTGCCACATTCTGTCCCTCTCCAAGAAATTCTCCTCCCTGTTCAGCTACTCAGCAGGTACAGGGAGAGGGAATCCTACACCAGCTCTCTACAGGGTTTCCTGCAGAGCCCCAGCCCTTCATTCCTGCAGGCCTCTGATCTCAGGACTTGCTTGGCTGGAGGGGGAGAAAAACTGAATCAACAGAGACAGCAATGCAGCCTCCTAGGTATCAGAATCACTTCTCAGTTACCCTTTTTACAGTGCCCTGAACACGGAAGCTATTTTGCACACAATATTAACATCGCTGTCAGATAAAGTAAAATCCCCAACTATTCAAATGGTCACTGAATCACAGAGTGCTTCTGAATGAAAACTGAGTATACAACAATAACTTTAAATAAGTGAATATTTAAAGTTAATATTTAAGTGAATATTTAACGTGAATAAGACTGTTACTCTTTTGAATTATTTCTACTTCCCTTTTCATTTCATCCTATTTCTCTGAGCACTTAAATATGATATCACAGACTAAAATGTGAATCATTCTAGGAACTTAGCCATTAATTGAAAAAATGATAGTCACTTAACTTTTGATCTTTGACAGCGCCTTACTTCAGTAGAGATAGATGCTCCATGGAGGCAGAAGCACAGTGCAACTTTTACTAAAATAAAACTATAGTAGCTTTTTGTTCTCTCTGTTCTTTGCAAAAATTAAAATTCTTTTGAAAGGAGATAATAGGAAAAAATTAATGAGAAAAGAACAATTTAGAACTTTTTAAAAA